AAACACAAGTTATTCAGAGGAAAGACAAGACAATAGAAAATGGGAACTCATTTTCTTAAAGTGATCAGTGGAATGCCAAATTACTTCTAAGTGTATTCAGTCTATAGTTGTTTTTACACATGAACTTTAAATAAGCATCCTGGTAGAGGGGAAATCCAGGCTCCTTTATTCAAGGATGTTTTAAAAGTCTTTTTTTTTTTTTTTTTAATTGATTCACAAAAATTAGAGTCATCAAGAAACATATTTGGCAGAAACAGCTTATTCTACTACCTGGTAACTAATTTTGAAGGTTATAAGCTTTAGATAAAGTTGGCAGAGTTCTTAGTTATTTATGGAACCATGCCCTCACCATTCCAAACGCAGACAGCACAGTCAGCTCAGTTGTTGGTAATACAGAGGCAGGCCCCCATCCATGTTTTTTTTTTTTTTCCTTATTATTGCAGTGGTTTAATTATCTTGGCAGGGGCAGTTGTTAAAGAATTCCAGAGTGGACTTCTTAAGGTCTCTTTAAGCTTACTTTAACTTAAGCTTTCTGGAAGGGCTTTTTACTCCTTCTTCTTTTACTTTTTTTTTTTTTTTCCTTGCTTGCTTTCTTGCTGTGCACTGGATGTTTTCAGTGTTGGGGACCTAGAAAGCTGCAATTTTTCCCAGTCCCATGAGTCTTCCATTTCTTGTTTCTTTATGTCTATAATCAGATCTGTCATTTTTAAATTAGAGGGACTTCCCTGTGCCTGATTATTATATAGACTAGCTGGTATAAATAAGGAAGTCCAAACTTCAAGAAGAACTTTAACCAACTTTAAATTGCTTACAGAGACAAACAAACGAACTAGTCAAAATAGGCATACTTGAAAGAAATATTAACCTGCCCTGTGAGTGGGGAAAAAAAAGCAGAGAAAACAAGAGCAGAAAGTTCAAAAGATTCTCAAAGTGGTCACCAAGCTAAATTGTCCCTAATCAGGTAATGCCATATTATGGAACCAAAGTACAAGACAGGCAGGAACTGCCACCTTGTGGTGTGATGGATGACTTTCACGAGGCCTTACTTTTTATGGTCTTGTAACTCCCACCCAGATAATTGGGTGGGATTATGCAAATGGGATAATTGTGGCCCACCAAGGGGATTGGTCAGTTTTGCCATCCCACTGGGCTTGAAATGAGCTATCCTAGAGGCAGGAAGGACAGGATCCCACCACCACCAAGGAAGGACATCCAGGAGTGGAAAGTGAGTCTTTTGGACCCGGGATCCCTGCACTGAGTTGCTCCTGGACCCTGAAGATAGAGAGAGGGCTGTAACATGGAAGACGGCGAGATTTGGTGGCAGAGAAACTGCGGCAAGAGAGACTGGCTGGAGAGACCGGCAGGAGACATCACAGTGGGCTGGGGTGAGAAGGCTGAGTGCCTTTAGGTAGTAGGCTTACTGCAGGTGTAGAGTACTTCCAGGTACTTGGTAGAGCGAGGTTTGCCAATCCACTAGAGCTGAGAGCCTTTGGGCTGAGGTTTACTGGTGGAGCGGGTTGCCTCTGGGCACTTATATCAGCAGAGCTAAAAGAGTTTTGTAACACTTGCCCCTGAGCAGGGCAGAGGCTGAGGGGCCAGAGAGAGATGTGGCTGCAGCATGGCTGGGAAGAGGCTGTCCTGATGGAAGAACTTTATCTTGAGTGTTCCTGAACCTGAATTGTAACCTGTTACTTCCCTAATAAACCCCATAATCATGAATATCGGCTGTGAGTTCTGTGTGGCCTTTACACAGAAAAGTAGCCAGCAGAAAAGTAGCCATGAGCCCAGCAGAAAAGTAGAGAGTGCTGTGGGAGGGATGGTTAGTGTCAGAATTAGTAAAGATGTCAGAGAGAGAAGGCATGTCTGACCTCTGTCTTGTAGGAATCAGTCTTGGGCTGTTCATCTTGATTCTCCTTCCCCCTCATGAAGTTAGAGGAGGTCAGATGCCACCCCCATGCCATTTTTATACAACTTCCCCCTGTGAATTAGCATTACCCATTATGAATTATATTACCCGTTAGCAAGGATGGTGGGACTTCGTTTCACATACTTTGGACATGTTATCAGGAGGGACCAGTTCCTGGAGAAGGACATCATGCTTGGTAAAGTAGAGGGTCTTCAAAAAAGAGGAAGACCCTCAATGAGATGGATTGACACAGTGGCTGCAACAATGGGCTCAAACACAGCAACAACTGTGAGGATGGCACAGGATCAGGTAGTATTCCATTCTGTTATATATGGGGTTGCTATGAGGCAGAAACAACTCCATGGCACCTAAAACAACAACGGTCAACTAAGTTTGATGACGATTATTTCTGCATCTTGGGATTTGGATTTTTTTTTCTCTTTGATCTTTATCAATTGTGCTCTGTAAGAATTTTTAATAATGAAAGGGTATCATCTTTATAAAAAGTAGTAGAGTAATTTTTCTTTAAAATATTAGGGGTCTATACAGCAATATTTAAATCTTAAGAGTGGCTTATTTTGAATCTTGGGAATATGGGTGTTTAACTACTCTTTTAATTTTTGTAACTTTCTGGGTTTTCTGGTGCCTAAAACGGCATAGTATTTATATAGCACCAATTATAAAGTATTGTTTTAAGATGGTTTCAGCTAGTTGATCTACTTTTCTTACAAGAATTTTCCAAATATATAAGTTAGATTCCAACGATCTTTGACCACAGAATCATTCACAATTGTTTCTTTTCTTGCCAAGCTTTGAAACAAAGATTAATTTTATAAATTAAATTATAAGTGCCTAATAAAGGATAACATTTCCACATGTTTTTAAATACAGAAATAAAACTTTAAAAAATTATAGCCACCTGCAGGTAAAAAGGAGAGCCCTGGTGGCGCAGTGGTTAAAACTTTTGGCTGCTAACCAAAAGGTCAGCAGCTGGAAACCACCAGCTGCTCTGTGGGAGAAAGATGTGGCAATCTGCTTCTGTAAAGACTTACTGGAAACCCTATAAGGGCAGTTCTACTATGTCTATAGGGTCACTACAAGTGGGAATCAACTCGGCAGCAATGGGTTTGGGTTTTTTTGGTGCTGGAAAAAACTGATGAAGAACAAAATCTCCACATGTCTTTCAGTGTTTCCTCATTGCTGTTTTTAGTTGAAATAAAGGGACATAGAAAGTTGAAGGTATGTTCATTGGATTACTTTTAGGTTCAATGGTGTCTTAGTAATCTAGCGCTGCTATAACAGAAATACCACAAGTGGATGGCTTCAACAAAGAAAAGTTTATTCTCTCAAGTCCAGTAGGCTAGATGTCTGAATTCAGGGCGCCGGCTCCAGGAGAAAGCTTTTTGTCTCTATCGGCTCTGGAGGAAGGTCCTTGTCATCAGTCTGCCCTTGGTTTGGTAGCATCTCGCGCAGGAACCTTGGGTCCAAAGGAGGTGCTCTGCTCTCGGTGCTGCTTTCTTGGTGGCATGAGGTCCCCATGTCTCTCTGCTTCTCTCTTTTATATCTCAAAAGCAATTGGCTTAAGATGCTATCTAATCTTGTACATCTCATCAATATAATTGCCGATAGTCCATCTTATTACATCATAGTGATAGGATTTACAACACATAGGGAAATCACATCAGATGACAAAAATGGTAGACAATCATACAATACCTGGAATCATGACCTAGCCAAGCTGACAGATATTTTTGGGGAACACAATTCAATCCATGACAGTTGGCTTTTTGTTTTAAATACATACTAATTTCAAAACCGCTGATTGTCAAAATGCATAAGAAAAATGAACATTTGTAAAGAAAAGTAATATGTTCAGTTCAGTTTATCCATTCATTTATTATACATTAATTCCCACCTATTAAATTTGAGGGTCTCTACGATGCTGTATATGATGAACATGGTTATAAAAGCTGACACATTATTCACATATTTTTGAATAACGTTATCAGTATTGATAGGATATCATGCAATAGATGAATAAACTAGAGATAGGAAAATGTGTCAAGCCGAATGTTGTCTTAGAATAATTTGATTATTGTACTCAGGTCCCACCTGCGCAACAGATACATATTCAGATGCGATCCAGTTAGTCAATGGAAGAGAATAGAGAGGTAAGAGTTTCTGGGATGAATGGACTATGATTGTCTGCTGTGGAGCTGAAGGTAGCCTGGCCTTTCCCTAAGGAACTGTGGTAAAGGCCTTTGGCCAGACATGCCAGTCTTTTGAGCAGAAATAAGTTTCAGAACAAAGAGAAGTTTTTGCTCATTGTACAGGAGAACATACAGAAGACATGCTTGGGTACGGGATAAAAACATTATGAAATCAGAAATAGAAAACAGACTTCTCAGGAGCTGGAAAGGGGAGGACTTGACACAGAGCTTGAATTTAGATGATTGCTCAAAGGCATATGGCAAAATGTCTTCTCCAATGGACTCTGTACTTGCTCTATAATGCCACCACTTGTTGTCATCAAGTCATAGCGAACCCATGTGTGTCAGAGTAGAACTGACTGTGCTCCATACGGTCTTCAGTGGCTGATTTTTAGGAAGTAAATCACCAGGCCTTTCTTTCAAGGTGTCTCTGGGTGGACTCAAACCTCCAACCTTCTGGTTAGCAGCCAAGTTCATTAACATTTTCCACCACCAAGGGACTCCCATATTTGCTCTATATCCCTGTATTTTTAGTGTAAACATGTACCAAAAAAAAACAAAAACCTGTTGCCATAGAGTCGATTCTAACTTATAGCAACCCTATAGGACAGAGTAGAACTGCCCCACAGAGTTTCCAAGGAGCATCTGGTGGATTCAAACTGCCGACCTTTTTGGTTAGCAGCCATAGCACTCAACCACTACACCACCAGGGTTTCCAAACATGTACAAATGAAGCAAAATGTACCCAAAAAAAAAAAAAAGAAAGAAAGAAAAAAACCATTCCTCCCCTCTCGCAGCATTTGCTAATAAATTGCTTTGTAAATTCTGAGAAGACTATGTGCCAGCAGTGTAGATAAAAAAGTGTACTTCAGTAGGTATCATGATTTATAACATTCAAAAGTACCTATTTTTATTTATATCAAAGTAACAAACATTAAGTCCTTATGAAGTGCAGTGTACACTTCTCACGTTGGGGTTGTAGCTATGTTCTTGCTCTTGTTCTCCTCCTTTACACATTCAAGTTGTGCTTCCTCTTAGAGATTTTTCAAGATATTTCTTTGGGGCATTTCACAAATCCAAAACATGTTAAAGAAACAAGGTACATCATTCCAATTTTTCCTTGGATTTGAAGAGTCTCTAATGGTAGCGCAGTCCTCTACTGTAACTATGTTGTTGGGCTCACCTATATCCCAGAAGCTGAAAAAGAGTGCCACAGGATATTTTAGAGCCCAGCAACAAGAGGTAATATATGTACTAGGCAAATCACATTTGTGTTATTTAATTCTACAACAATTTTGTGAAGTAGGTATAAAAACCACCATTTTATTGACGAAGAAATGGAATCTCAGAGATGCTAAGCCATAGAGCATTTGAGTAGTGAAGCAGAACTGGATCTTTCTGACCTTTTATTTTGTCATGGACACTCATGGCTTTCGACTCAGAGTGAGAAGTTATGGGAAGGACTAATACCCTGATGGGTTTGTTTCCTTTGCACTCCTATCTTCTTTACCATCATTCTTGATTCCCTTTATTCTACACATGGCTTGTATTAATTTATGTGCACCCTTCAATGGTGTTACAGTGCTTGAGTAAAGTAACTCTTCTAAAGCATCAGAGCATCTGAACTATAATCTCAGAAACTTTGCTTACTAGCTGTGTAATCTTGGGAAAGACACTTAACCCTCATGGCCTTCAGATACCTCAAATGTTAAATGAAGATTAAATTCTATTAATGTATCTCACAGAGGTGTAATTTAGATAAAATGAGATAATGAATGAGAAAATATGTTGAAAACTCCAAAATACTGTGCTCTAAAGATGTAAGGCTGTTATTAGGAGAAAAGTGACATTATCAAGGGTTTCCCACATTGATGCCATAAGAATCTGCTCTTTCTCAAATCACTATTTTTGTCTCATTCACTACAGTTTTGAGACATAAAACTCTGAAGTTCACACTGTCTCTCCTGCATCTCCAGTGAATTATTCTTCGGTTCTGATCACCTTCCCATTCTCATCTATTGCTTCTCCTTTATTCTTGAGACAGTTTCAGAAAATGGGAGAGGCGGGGCCTTATGCTTCTCTTTTCTTTCTTTTATACCAGCTCTTCCCTTCCTGGATCTAATATCACTGAGGATGAACCTCAAATTATTCCATGGAACAGAAGGAGGTTCTCAGAAACTCACCACAACAAAATTAGTCCAACTTTAGGATTTGGGTTAGTGTTACAATTCTCCTGCAAGAAGGTAATTACCTCAGAGACTCTTTGAAAGGTGTGCCATCCACCCATTTCCACTGGCCCTCAACCACCTGGTCTGTCAGTCCAATGTAGAATTCTTTTCTTTTAGGTTTTGTATAGAAAAGGAATTCCTATGGAAGATACACAGTCAACAAATAGGAGCTCAATTATTTCAGTTCTGAACAAATGTTGAGGGTAATTGTTATTAAAAGAGGCAAGGTAAGACCTGTGCCAGAGATGATAGATAAATGGGCCTGAAATTATAAGGTCCCGGAGGATCATTTCCTGACTTTAAATTGACAAAAAAGAACCTTCAACAGAGAAGGTGATTCTAAATAACTCATTCAAAGTTTGTTAGCTGCTATTGATAACAACGTCTACTGCGTATGTCTGGCATAAAACATTACCAATTACACCGTGAAGAAAATGGGCAATATTTGCTTGCCCTTTTTCATTTGATATGTTCATAACCACCACCTGTGGTGGCTTGTGTGTTGTTATGATGCTAAATGCTATGCCACTAGTATTTCAAATACAGCAGATCCACCCATGGTAGACAGGTTTCAGCAGAGCTTCCAAAGGCAGGCTAAGAAGAAAGGCCTGGCTATTTTCTTCTGAAAATTAGCCAGTGAAAAACTCTATGGATTACACAGAATATTTTCTGATATAATGCTGGAAAATGAGCCTCCTAGGTTGGAAGACACTCAAAATACACAGTAATCACAACAATGGACTTGAGCATACCAACAATTGTGAAGATGGTGCAGGACTGGCAATGTTTCAGTCTGTTGCACATGGGACCAACTTGATGGCAACTAACAATAGCAATGTTCATAAAGATAATGGTCTTTCTAAAATTAACTGTCAACCCTCTTTTCTTCCTGCCTAAATAATAAAAGAACTCATTGAACTTCCCTTTTCTTAAGTTCTTCTAATAATGAAAATAAACTAGATACGGCTATCTTAATATACACACTTACAGACATTTCAGTACATTAATTTAACAAACAGTAATTGAGGGCCAGACACTGTGCACATGTATGGAAGAAGGGATGGACCCTGTGAAGAATGCTAAATTGACACTGGAGGAGGTTGTACCCCAACTACCTGCTCCTCCTGTGTGTTGATAACCACCAGATGAGCACCCATGGCTGAGCAGTTTTTTAAACTTAATGCCCAGGTCATGGTGTTAGTAGAAAAGAAGTAGCAGCTAGATTGAAAATGTTCCCAATTCACTGGACAACAATTCTTGACGGAACCTAGAAGGAGAGAAGTTTCAGTGAATGTCCCAGAAGAACTGAGTAAGAAAACAGAAAGCTCCCTCCGGGCCCATAGAGCACACAGCTTACACTCAGAAACTGAGAAACCCCCTTGTTCTTGCCCCACATCTTACTATCTAAGATTTGAGATAATTCTAACATTAACAAGCATAAACAGCAATTTTCTTGTCTTTTGCAGTAATCCCATAATCATTGTTTTCTAGATGTTAGTGCCAGTAAATGTAACCACATGCAGGTAGTACCCGACTTACAACGTATTTGTATTATGATGAACCACATCTACCACCGTCCTTTTTTTTTTCCTTCGTACATCTTATCATTAGTAATATGTACTACATACAATGTTGCAGCATGTAATTTGCTGATGTTATCATTCTAATGCCAAACTGCAAAGACAAATAGAGATCGGATTTATAAAGATGCTGATAATAAAAGGCAATAATAATGAAAACTAAAAAAAAAGAAAATGAGGTATTCGACTTAGGTCAGAACTGCCTTATGACGGAGTTGTTGGAATGGAACCCCGTCATAAACTGGGGACTACCTGTATTCAATCTGTCTCAGCTATGTTCTTCGTGTAGAACTCTATTACCTGTTCTTAACTGCCGAAGACAGAGAAAGTTATACACTTTATCTGATGATCACCGAACAACCACCTCTTTTGTTGCCCCAACACACATCCTCAGCCAAATCTCTAAACTGTGGTTGCACAGATGTACTAATTTTACAGAATTATAAAATGTCTTCCTTTGAAAGCTTATTAAAAATAACTAGCTCAATCTCTCTCAATTTAAAGGTGAGAGAGTTATAGCCCAGAGAAAGAAGTCACTTTCCTAGTGTCATGTGGCATTTTGGAACATGACAAGACTTGGAACAGCACTGTATCTTAGAGCATGGGGAGTATATTTCTGAGGCATTTATAAATTTTCTACTCTCTCTATACATTTTTCCTTCATCTCACTTTGGAAACAGATGATGAACCAAAAAAAAAAAAAAAGTACATTTCTGGGGATTTACTATTACAGATTTACTATTCATACATATACTTCAAATTTATTCCAGAAGTTCACTATAATCTCTCCAAGATTTCCTGTATTTCCAATCTAATCCTGCACTCTTACCAACCCCTCATCTTTCTCTTACAGCACAGGCAAGCTTTTACATTTCGTTTTTGAAAAGCAGGATCAACTATAGTTTACTTATCTCAAAAGCAATCTAGAAGCCCAGAAAATGTTGATATGTAAATTTTCATGTTCTAATTTGAGGGTTATTATACCTGAGCCATCATTGTAGCAGGAGAGTTCTGTGATATTCTCATGTGGCTGGAAATTTTCCTCATCACAGAGTTGAAAGGTGTGATATGTCACTGTAAGGAAAGGGGCACAGTTAATGGTCATTAATCTTTTTAACAAAAAATAAATAAATTTTCTTATTTTTATATTCATAACAAAAGCTCCAATAATTATCATGGTTTCTCACTATCCACTTTTCCTTTTACATGGAGAGGCTTTGGGATTCACTTACTCAAGAAGGAAGAGGGAATTCACATTTCATGGTTTTCCTGATTTGTGAAGACAAAGATACTTTATTTCAGACCCAAAGACCCAGAGAAAAACAAAAGTGTTTGTACCCACTCTCATGTCAAGTCCAACCTTCTCTATCTTTCCTAGCCAAAAAATAAAAATAAAACATTATCATGCCTCTGATCCTGACCAGTCAGTCCAGAGCTTCAAGCTAGGATCTCTTAGGAAGGTCATGCTAATGATACTGCAAAGGTACAAATGGGAGGACTCGAGGCCACCAAAGAGATAAAAAGTGTCTTTTATGAAAAATGTCCCAGGGGTCACCAAAACTTGGTAACAGTTCTGCACTAGTTGGGGTCTCTGACTTGAGGAGTAGAGTGGAGATCAATAGGAAAAAAAAGGAACAAGAACACCCTTTGTGGGAGAAGAAACCCTACAGGTAGCAAGAAAGTGTTTACCCCCAGTATTCGCCAGGGAGAATTAGATTGAATTTGACCTTCAGAACCCACCAACACATCTGGTAACAAAACAGGCACTGAGAAGTAGGATGGAGACCCCAGCAGCAGTCCATACAAACACTTGGGAAGAGAAGAATCCTTCCTCTGCAGAAAGAAAGACACAAACATGGGCAATCTTCCAAAAGCAAGATACAAAAGACATAAAGAGATTCTTATTAATCCTTACTTGTTTCCCTCCATTCACACTGTCTGTATCAGATAATTCTCAAACTTCAATGTGCATCAGAATTGCTTGGAGGGCTTGTCAAAGCACAGATTGCTGAGTTCCATCTCCAGAGTTAACAATTCAGTAGGGCAGAGGTGGAACCAACAAGTTCCCAGGGAAAGCTGATGCTGCTGATGTGGGGACCATAATTTTAGAACCGATGGAGTAATCCATTACTAATTTTAAGGCTCTCATTCATGAACTCAGAGCAATCCACAATTTTTCCTTTCCAAGTCCCCCAGTTAAAAAATACTTTTATTTTTCCCCCTTCTTTCTCTTTTTCTCTCCACTTCTCTGCTTTTCTTGTCTTTCTCCTGCTCTCCTCTGTTCAGAATTTCATTTTCCCATTCCTTTGTAAATGAGCCAGTTAAAACATTAACAATCATCTAACAGTTGCTCTCCTCCTGTCAACATGCATTTTACAAATAAGGCAAATGAGTTCCAGAGAAGTAAAGTGACTCGCTCAAGGTGACACAATGACTTACAGAAAGAGTAGGATTAGCAATCTGGTACTTAGCACTTCTGATCTCGAGTCCAGGAAGTTTTTGAGTGCAACATAAACTCTTCTAACCTTTCTTCTCTCTCTCCCTCTCTCTGTCCTTCCTGTCTCTCTTTCTTTCTTTTCTTACTTTTCTGCATACTTCTGTCTCTTCTGTTGTTTATCACTTCCCTCAGAAATGGATCTATGGAGGAAAAGGGAAAGTTGCAAAATTTACCTGTGCATGATGATGCAGATGATTTGGATGAACTCATTCTTCCTTTTTCTTTCTTGCCCTCTGACCCCCTTTCTCTCCTCAATTTCTGAGTCCAGTTGTGTTTTGTTGGAAATATTCAAGAAAAATAAATCTTGAAGGATGAACACTTTATCCGTCCTTTAGGAAGTTCAACTCTAAGACAGGAATATTAACTTGCTCTGTGACTGTGTGCTTAAGTCAGGATTTCCTTTCTTACATAAGGAGGACAAGGGATTGTATGAGGCAATGATATGTTACCTCCCCTTACTGCAGGAAACAAAATGGGGATATGATGTAATGGTAAGCGTCCCCAGAAGCAGGCTGTCCGTGAGCAAACGTGAAAGAGGCTTTCAAAAATACTGTTTTATTTGGGCTGATAAAGTTTCTCTGCTTTCTTTCATGCCTAACTCACTCCCTAATTTTTCCTTGCTACTGTGGAGCCCATCTCTATTCATTCTCTGCTCTCCCATTTCACTTTCAGTCTGTGTTACTCACACATTGGTTAACTGAAAAAGAGATTTAGACTCCAGATCCTCACAAAACCTAGCATAGAACCAGGCACATAGAGTGTGTTTATGACTTGGCAATATAATGTATCTTTTATGCTTTTTCTTCCTTCTTCATTTGAAGCTCTTGATGAACGTTCTAGTACTGCGGATTTAAATCCTTCTTAGCAAAGTGCTAAGTCCTTGGTTGGTGCAAATGCTTTGTGCTTGACTACTAACCTCAGGGTTGGTGGTTAAAACACACTCACTGGCTCCACAGAAGAAAGACCTGGGGATCAACTTTCATAAAGAGCCAAGAAAACCCTATCGAGCAGTTCTACTCTGCAATATATGGGGTCACCCTGAGTTGAATTTGACTTTATGGCAATGGGTTTTATCAAAGGGCTTACCACTAGGTGATTTCTTAGATCCCTCTCTGCTGGATAGTCTCATGAGATGTGATTACGGTGGAACTCAGCTCAATTCCTTTCATCATAGCACAGCTTCTGAAGCCTCAGAGACTCTGTAGGTAGTTTAATTCTATTGTTCTGAACTATTTGGGGGATTTTAGTTCTGTATTGTATATTGGAAGGAGCTCTGGTGGCACAGTGGTTAAGCATTTGACTACTAACTGAAAGGTCAGTGGTTTGAACCTATCAGCTGCTCCATGGAAATTCTAGGGGGCAGTTCTACTCTGTCCTATAGGGTCGCTATATGTCAGAATCAACTTGATAGCAATGGGTTTAGTTTTAGTTTATTATAGATTGGTCAATCTTCCAATTTTTCTAAGCAAGGTACAAAACAGATAACCATTGCCGTGGAGTAGATTCCGACTCACAGCGACCCTATAGGACAGAGTAGAACTGCCCCTTAGGAACCCTACAGGACAGAGTAGAACTGCCCCCTGGGGTTTCCAAGGCTGTAATCTTTATGGAAGCAGACTGCCACATCTTTCACCTGCGGAACTGTTGGTGGGTAGGTTGGCTAGCAGCCAAGCTCTTAGCCACTGTGCCACCAAGTCTCCTTTACAAAAGAGATAGGAGATTCTTAAATTCATCCTTTTATCCTTCCACTCATATTATCTGTATGGAGTAATCCTCAAACTTCAATGTGTATCACAATCTCTTGGAGGGCTTGTTAAAACACAGACTGTGGGCCCCATGTACATTAGGAGACACTGATTTGTATGTGAGAAGAAGCAATTTCAAGTAGACATTAGAATACAAAGCTTCTGTGGAGGGTTGGTTAGACAAACTATGGCAATGTGCTGTTGCCTTCCTTAAAGATACTTAAAAATAAGATCAGACTGGTCTCAGTTGATTTAAGTTCACAGCTGTCAGGAGGCATAAGTAGGATACACGTGACCTGGTAATCTCCACACCCCATGACTCACAGACTTCCCATGTGTCAGAAGATATCCGTGTTCTCAAAGGGACTTTTTGTTATTTCAAAGTATTGGTCAATTTCCACTACATTCTCCATTTTACACTTGTGTAGACTTATTAAACAATGTTTCAAAATTTTATACGTATATATTATTAACATATTTAATATGTGTATTATCAGCAAATGGTTTTTGACTAGTAAGTAAAGAGAGAAATTATCTACTGGGTTAGTTAGATAAATCATTAAATGATGAATTACAATTGATATAATCAATTATGACCAATTATAAAAATCAATATTAACTAATAATTATGTAATAAGAATTTTATTAACATACAATTAACTAGGTATTTATTAACAATAAATTGATAACATGTTTCAGTCTCAATATGTCTATGTTTCTGTCCTATGTTTTACTGTTTTCCCTCCAAATTACAAAAATAATATTTTTATGGTTAAAGATATAAGAGAGTGTGACAAGTAAAAGTATTCTCATCTATTCCCAAAGTACTCTTCTAAAGCCAACCACACTAAATGATTTCTCGTATATATTTGAAACATTTTCTAATATTATTGTATCTAAACCTATATAAATGCAGTACGTATAATTTATTTTTATACAAATAAGATCATACTATACATACCTTTATGTTTTGAAATATATCTGGACATCTATCTTCTTAATTCTATTATTTAGATATTTCCATAATTTATACACTAGGTTATTCTAAATGACATTTAAGTCATTTCTAGTTCTTTTCCTCCCTCACAAATGAGGCAATATGACTATATACATTTTTACAGGTGCACACTTTTTGGCCTTATGATATGTGGCCAGGTGTATATTAAGCTTGAGCCATCATCATAGATACAAAAATATATAGGAAATTTTGTCTGAAGATTAAGTTTTATTGTAATTTAATATTAAAAATCTTAGGAGGTAAATGTAAAACAATGACATTTTAGTATAGGAAAAAATAATTGCCCAGCAGTGCAGCTGATAAGTTGTGCCTATGATCATGATACTGCAATCTTTTCATACAAAATAAATGCCTGCTTTTAACTGAGGGTGAGTAGAGAAGCAAGATATTTCGGATACTTTCTTTTATTTTATAAACCCTTTGTTATTCATACATTTTCACTGAAGAAATTCTCCTTGTATCAAGGATGATTTATCATGAATATTGTTGAGTGTTTTCTAATTTTTCTGCCTTATGAAATTTCAAGGTGGCAAAATTTATATTCTGCTATTATTTATTCCCCATAAGGTATGAAGTATCTCAAATAGGATTTGTCTTGGAAGACTTGAAACCTAAATGGAAATATTGTATGAGACCTCTATTGTAAAAACTCATGAAAAAGTTTACGCACAAAAAGTAACAATCTTTGTTGGTTACGAGGGATGGGGGGGGGGAATACTAAGTAGACGATAGACAAGTGGTAACTTTGGTGAAGAGTAAGACAGTACACAATACCGGGGAAGCCAGCACAACTTGTACAAGGAAAGGTCATGGAAGATCCATAGACACACCCAAACTCCCTGAGGGACTGAATTGCTGGGCAGAGGGCTGTGAGGATCATGGTCTTGGGGAACATCTAGCTCAACTGGCGTAACACAGTTTATAAAGACAATGTTCCACATTCTACCTTGGTGAGTAGTGTCTGGGGTCTTAAAAGCCTGTGAGCAGCTATCTAAGATACTCCACTGGTCTCACTCCCTTCAGGAGAATGAAGAGAACAGGATACAAGGAAAAGATTAGTCTGAAGGACTAGTGGACCACAGCTACCAAGGCCTCCACCAGACTGAGTCCAGTACAGCTAGATGGTGCCCGGCTACCACCACTGACTGCCCTGACCGGGATCACAACAGAGGATTCTGGACAGAGCTGGAGAAGGATGTAGAACAAAATTCTAACACACAAAAAACGACCAGATTTACTGGCCTGAAAGAGACTGGAGAAACGCTGAGAATATGGCCCCTGGATACCCTTTTAGCTCAGTGGTGAAGTCATTCCTGAGGTTCACCATTCATCCCCGGATTGGACAGCCCCATAAAACAAAACGGGACTAATGAAGCACAGCAGTCCAGGGAAAAGGACTAGAAGGCAGAAGGGGACAGGAAAGCTGGTGATAGGGAACCCAAGATTGACTAAGGACAGTGTTGACATGTAGTGGGGTTGTTAACCATTGTCATAGGGCAATATGTGTACTGTTCAGTGAGAAACTATTTTGTTCTGTAAAGCTTCAGGTAAAGTGAGAAGAGCAGCACAACTGGAGGAACATAATCAATGTCGCTGAATTGTACATGTAAAAATTTTTGAAATGGTTTATCTTTAGCTATGTATATTTTCACCAAAAAAAAAAAGTCCTCCAAGGCCCAGAAGGGAGAGTGTTGTCATGTCATGGGGTTGTTAACCAATGTCATAGAACAATATGTGTACTGACTGTTTAATGAGAAACTATTTGTTCTGTAAACCTTCACCTAAAGTACAATAAAAAAAAAATTTAAAAGAAAAACCTAAATGGAAACTAAATAACTAAATGAATAATTTATTTCATTATTAAATATAATTGCATTTAATAGAGCTATTTTATACGGATTAGGATTATGATATAATAAATTTCTATTATATTTGTATTCTTTATTTAAATTTTCATAAATCCTTGTTTTTAAACATATTAATTAAACTTTTATAAATAATTGTATTAAAGTTTCCAGACCTTGCACTAACTTTTAATGTTGGTGCTTAAACTCTCATTCTATTTCCCTCTTTATTTTATAATTTTAAGATAAAGGACTTTTTAATAACTTTCACAGTAGTTAATAATATTTAAATATAGTTTTTAATAATTGTTTTTATACATAAAATTAACAGATTTTAGAAACAGCATTATTGTAGCATTTTATCCTTTTGATAATACATATAGCTTATCCTTCATCTCACTTGATAGGATTTCTACATATAAATCATGTAAAGAGATTTTTTGATTCAAGTTATATTTTGAATGCTTTATTATATTTAAACAAATACACAAATGTCAATAATAAATCCAAATGAATGCTATGATTTGTCCAAGAGTAAGAATGCTCACTCTTTTAAAGTGATAGCAAGGCCCAGCTGAAGTAGTTTGATGTCTCAACTGAACCACAGAAGTATAGTCTCTTCCCAGACTTAACATAGTTTCTGTTCTGTCCTGATTAGAACCACAAAAGAACACTCTGAACTTTCAGACTGTTTTTCAAAACTAAGATAAGCTCCTGCTTCTAAACCAGCCTGAGCCTGCTAAAACTTAAAAGTAGCCCAAAGATTCTCATTAGCATAGTCAAGTTACCACACCGTGGAGTTAGACACCA